TTAGCTGTCGTGAGACTCAGCATCAGTTCCAGTTAGAGTTATTCCAGCCTTTCTGAATCCCGACAGGATGGTTTCTGTTGTCACTGAAGTCCAGGCTTTGTCGATCCATCCACTGACTTGCATGGCACACCCTCCTGGTTGTCACAAGTTTCTCACTCCAAACTTTCTTTCTGCTGCTTGATTACCATTTTCAGTTACATATTTCACTACTTGCAGCTTGTAATTTGGAAAATATGATTTTCTTTTTGGGGGCATTTGTGTTTTGTCTTCTCAGTTGTCTTTATAAGTTTGTTTAAATTGAAAATTTTCTATGGTACAGAAGTATTGGTGCGATTGACTGACATGATACAGACAGGACAGCGGCTCTTTCTGCAGGAGACATGCACAGTAGAGTGAAGTGACAGTGGTACAAGAATAATAAGAGTAGCAGATACTGGCACACAAGCCTAGAGCACCCTTTTGAAGTTGTCAGTGTGAAAATTTTAATATATAAGTCACACCAGAGTATAAGTCACAGGACCACCTAAACCATGAACAAAAGTGCGACTTATATCCCGAAAAATACAATATATGTGACCACAGTCGCAAATTTAAAAGATAATGTATTCCTCTCATTTTTTATTTTTTATTTTTATTTTATTTGCCATGGTAATTTACAAATGCAGTAAATACATTTGGGGTTATGGAATAGGTAGAAAAAAGACATTTTCAGGGTGCTCTAGTGTACACCTTAAGTGCAGGGACGATACAAAACTACAGTAATCAACTATTCAGGAAGCATTGCCAATACAACTCTGAGTAAGCTAATGATGAAGAAAAAGCATTATCACATAAAGCTTGATTGTGCGTAATAAGTCTCATTTAAATAAACAAACCCCCTCTCGTCTTACCAATGCATCCACAATATCAGAGCCCCTTCCCCTTCTTAAAGACAGATCAGAGGATTAGACATTGGACCAGGCCTTATAACAAATGCAAGGGGTTTGCAGTGGGAGCGTCTGGGGCCGTGCGTGTGGTATTAGCGCAGTGGCAGAGACAAAGATGCATGTTTGTTTAGGCCCCACCATCCGAGCGGAGGAGGATTAGGCTCGTCTACAGCCAGTGAGCGAGACCGTCTCTCTCTGCTCCTCACTACACACTCCGGCAATCAGGAAGCTGCTGCCAAACAAACAAATGAAGTCAACAGAGAGATGCTTCCTGCTTGTGTCTTGTGAGATGTGACTGTAACAGTGTTGACACCGAAGTTGACACCGTGTGACAGCCCGCTGCTTTGACTCGTGGTGCAGAGGGAGGGGAGGGGGGGTTTGGGATGGAGGTTTTGGGGGGGTTGAGGGTCTGACACGGTGCACTTGATCACACAGCGGATAATGTTTGTCAGCAGTAGTGGTGTCGCCGCGTAACAGAGACAAAGAGAGGAGGTTGATTTCATGGTCGAGTCATGTTGCGTGTGCTGCTCAAAAAGAACAAACTGTGCATCTGTTTGGCTCTCCTCTTGTGGAGATGCCTCAGACTATCACCAGACCCTTCATGCTCTTGTGTTTGCATATTTGTTTGACTAGTCTGACACACTTATATGATCTTAGGCCTGATAATTACTGTATCGCCTTATCATTCAACACATGACACAATTTTTGAGGGTCAATATTTATCAAAGGGACTTTTTCTTTCTACTAGTGGGAAAATTTTGCTTATTTTTTCTGTACTACAATGAGATTTGACCAATAGAGGGTTGAATTATAAACTTTTATTTTCATTAGAGTTATAAACGAACTGTGTAAGAGTTGCATTCTGTTATTTATTTTTTGCAACTCATTTGTTTTTAACAACTTTGTACATTTTTTATATTTTTGGTTTTACTTTATGGTTTGGTTTCGGTAGCTTGATTCGTCACCCGGTTTCACTTCGTAGAAACCGTCTGATCTCGAAGCATTACTTTTTTCATTTAACCAATCACTGCTATTTGGTCGAGATGTATGAAATGCGTTGCTAACGGGGCTAACTGGTACATTGAGCTTTTCCCAAATCCCGTAGGAAGAAGGGCAATAATGTCTTTCCCCTTGATAAAATTCACCAAACTTTCTATTTGTTCCGGTTTTAAATCATCAATCTCTGGAATCGTTGCCAACACAAAATGTATGGCTCTTCGCTGACTGGCTGGTGCCCGAACTCACACTTCCGGGGTTTTGCGAACCGTCTAGTGTATTCCGATTCCTGACCTAGTCGCTGGAGAGAAATGAAATTGAGCGGAGGCACCGGCCTGGCTATGGTTTCAGCGTTACCACAGAAAACGATATAAACCCCTTTTTCCTAATGTGACCAATTAGGTACAAACAAAATAAAGCTTGTGAAATGGTTGTGCTTAAGAACTGTGTACTGTAATTGAAAGTCTGTTTTTTTTTGTTTTTTTTTTTCAGAATATCAAGTACATACTACATTGGTGCACTTGAGCAAGACACACACAAAGACACACACAGAAATTATACTGTATGTTTCCATGGAACTTGAAGCGAAAATGAATTTATTGCAGTTTGTAACCAACAGTTTGTAATGGAAACACTATTCACTTACTGTCAGTTAAACTATTTAGCTGTACTTTGATAAGCTGTCTCATCTTACTTAACCTTAATCTAGGTCTAAAAATTATGTTAATGGTTTGCTTTTATGTATTTCCACTTCTCCCTCTTTTCTGAATCTGGTCAGTATTGGCAGTATGTTCTCGGATTTGTTCTGTGCATGATCCAATCTGAGGGTTAACCAGCACTGCAAGGTCAAATTCTTCTTAGATACAATCTTGCTCCATAAGTTTTTTCTCATCTATAAAATATAATATATATCCTCATAATGCCACCCATATCGTCAAACTAAAGCAATGCATGCTGGTTAACGGAGTTCTTGGCGTCGAGCAGCTCTGGGGGTTGGCGTGAGGGAGTATCTGTATTCAGGTAATTACAGTTTGAGGGGCACTGGGGTCCTCTGTGATTACACATCAGCCTTGTAATGGATTCAACACTTATAGACGGGGAGAAAGAGAGAGAGAGAGAAGAGACGGAGAGAAAGAGAGAGAGAAAGAGTGAGGGAGGGCTGCATTCTTTACCTTCCCATTGCTAAGGCAGGGGTGAGGAGGGGTGTAGCTAGGTATATCTGCAAGATGGATTACGCGGGGTTTGCAGAGTTCAACATTGACACAGATTCATCGTAAATCATTATGCTGGGGACCCACAGTGATTTCTGCATTAGGAGCAGAAAATGGAGTTCAGCCAGTCAATGAGGGAGGGCATATTTCACATCAATCACCTGCACAGTCTCATGTTAGCCCCAGTGCAAATCTCACTTATACTGTTACCAATACAGTTCAATGGCTATGATGGCAATCAGCAAGACGCTAACAATACCACATACAGACCCTGGGCGCACTGGGAGGTTTCAAATATGCATAGCTCTAAACCAAAGTATAACTGCTGTTTCTTAGTAATATTATACAGTTATACCTAAAATCCAAATAGTCACAAGTCAAAGCTGGTTCAGTACTGTAAGAGACTAAGTTTAAAGGTCCTGTATTATGTAAAATTGACTTTTGTGAGCTATTATAAAGTTGTTACTTCATGAAACACATACATGGAGTTGTGTTTTGTTTCATTCACACATGCTCGAGAAATCCTTTATTATTAGTCTGTAGAGGTGTAACGATATTCAAGTCTCTGGATACGATATTGTCACGGTATGAACCTCACGGTACGATATTTATTGCGATATCGTGGGAAAGCTCACGATATGGTGGGGAGGCTCACGATTAGGAATGTAACAATATCCAAATCTCTATTTTCACGATATACATCTCACGGTACGATATTTATTGCGATATTTTGTGGAGGCAAAACTGTTAATATGCTACTTTTTCCTCTTAAAATGCCAGAACAAGACTTAATCCAAAGAACTAAGACTTAACAGTGCTTAAAAGTGTTACTTCTTCATGTAGTCTGCACTGAAATTGAGCAAAGGATCATGGTCTATGTAGTTCCCTCTGTCTTTTTTTAGCTATTGCTGCACCATAACTGTTAATTTAAGAAAGGTACTTGTAATTCGATATATTGTGATGGTCCATGATATTACTGTGAGAACTTTGACGATACAATATCACAATAGTTTGGTTATTGTTACATCTCTATTAGTCTGTCTACATCTCCAAAGCTCAAAATGCTCTGTTCCACCTTGTGATGTCATGTAGTAGTTTTCAAGTTCAGCTCCTTTCACCTTTAGTACAGAAGAGATTGGCTGAAATTATCCAAATGTTTCTCTTGAAGGTGAGTGGTATTTAGAAGCACAGTGGAGCACTTCCTGTGTTACCACATGACATCACAAGGTAGAACAGAGTGCCTTCTGTTCGAAAGAAGAACTCACGCTAAATGCAAGGTGTGTGTTTTAAGCATGTGCGAATGAAACAAAGCAGAAATATGACCCAAGTGACAATACAGTTTGCAATTTTGAAAACTGTGTTTGTCATCATTACACAAATGTTGAGCAATGGAATTACACAGGCCTAGAAAGAAGTAAGGAATGCACAGTACCTGAAGGAGTGGCAAACAAGGGAAGAACAAGCAAACTAAAAAATTACCCTACTGAATACTAATCAAACACCCTGCTTTGCATACAGGTAAATAATACATTATTATTAATTAATTAATAATAATAATAATAATAATAATAATAATAATAATAATAATAATAATACACTTTTATTAATGTCAGTAAAATAAAATTAATATATCATGATATAAAACAGACTTATACATTTTTATATCAACCAAAACCAAAAGTTCACTAAATAACGTTTCGCTTAATGCGTTTACTTCTACTAACCCCGTCAGTTTGATCAGATTATATCATTGTTGTTTTTGTTTGTATATTTGAGTCTGAGACGGCTGTGTGAAGTCTGTGCTGCTCTTGGGAGGCAGCGGGAGAGCGGAGCAGTGCTAGTGGCTGGAGCTTACGGCAGGAATCCGGATATGATGAAAATGTTTCAGAACTACAACTTTCCTCTGCAAACTACTGCCACTGCGCGTCGAGTGCGTCGCGACGATTATTGTTGTTATTTCTCAATGCGTCAGCGGCGTTACCAAGACGTGGGACTGTGGCACACTGGCAACTAAACTTCTAGAAAAGTTTTGGGGACGAGCTACTCTTTCACCTACTTTGTGTTTTTCTCCCAAACGTCTAGAGCGCGCGTTGGAGGAAGGAAGGATGGAAATAATTCAGATTTGAAGCGAAGGAGTTGTCATGTTTGAAAGGTAAGTTTACGCTTCATAAACAGTGCGTCCGATTAGACTATATACAGCACTTAGGATGTTTTTGATAAAGGAAGGGGGTGTGAGAACCGAAATCTGGACTACATATGGAATCTTTCAACAAGTTTATGTAAAAGCGAGTGAAGGGAAATTTCCACTAAGTTTTACTGCGGTTCGACGTCACTTTGTGCGCGTGAATGAGCAGACCACTTTTCAACCTGAGTAATGATCTGTCGTGTTACTTTGTCTTTCCTGCGTCTAAACTCATCTTGAAACGTTGATTTTTCATAGTGCCGAGGGGTGAGGACAAGGAGGAACTGGTACTCGTGCGCGCGTGTTCCTGAAAGAGGACTGTCCCATGTCCAAGGAGACCGTGCGTCCACCGGATGGGCCAGATGGGCCGGGACAGGGCCCACAGCTGGAGACAAAACCTCTGCTGTCCACTGCACACGGTGAGTCTAGACCAGCTTGAAAAAAGTGCTTTGCTTGGCTCTTGTGCAAACAGTGTTCACTCATGTTTGTGTCAAGGTTAAGGTTGTCACTGAAAAGTCTTACCACCATTACAAGCTACGACTTTTATATTTAGCAAACACAAATGGATGCTTTCAGTTAAACACAGTGTTTCTAGCAGAATGCATGATTACAAAATATAGCAGTTTTGGACTTTCATTGTAATATAGGCTAATGATATATTTACACATAGCCTGTATTTGTAAATGTGCCCCAGTGTTGAGAGCTGTTAATGTTTTTGCTTTATTTCTCACTTCTTCAGTCTGGATAAACGCCCCGGTGACTATTAACAGTAACCACAGCCAATTATACTTTTTTAATTAACTTTCTAGTTGCCCCTAAGATTATCACATGTCGACTAAGCTTATATTCCACTCCCCCTTTTCATTTTTTTTTCTCAAACAAGCAGCGGACCGTTAACTATCCTATTTATACCAAGCGTCATTATGGCTCTGTCAAAAAATAGCAAAGTAGGACAAAGTAAGCAATCAGTGCGGCTGGTGGATTGCGAATGGATTTTCATTGGACCTTCAAAAGCGCTCATAGTTAGAGAGTTAGAGTGTCCCTGCCTCTGTCTCGGGGGACTGTGGATGTTCTGAGAATAGAGCCATTTATTTCTAAGTGTGATCACTAAATACTGCGATGCATCACACAATAGTGCCGCTAATGCCACTGCAGGTCAACACACAGCCCAGTGCGCAGAGAAGTGCCATGTCTAACCAGGGCAGAGGCCAGGCCCATTCATTCCACTGGTCATCTATCACTGCTTACAAACACTGTTGTAGTACGAGGTCAAACACAGATACGTGCGGCTGTAGAGACATACTACCAGTGTTGATTTTGTCATATTTTTCATTGATGTCATGTTTTTGATGACTAATTTTTGACTAATGATGTTAACTATGACTAAAATACAAATAATAAATTACAAATAAATTATAACTAAACTTAGATATTTTTGTTCACTATAAGTACTGATGTATTTGTCCAAGGAACAGCTCTGTACATGTCCCATGATGCAACACAAAGCAGTTTAGTTAAAGAGCAGATATTATGCAACATATTTTTTGAGCTTTCTACGATGTTATAACATTGTTCAAAAACAGATATATCATCCATGTGTATCTGAATCATTTTGCGTTCTCTCCCAGGCCCTGTTCGAACCCTCCTTACTGCGTCTTAGCTGTAAGATTCTGTGCAATGCTCAACCCACAAGCCTACGTCACCCATGCTCCCGCACGTCAATTCTCTATAAATATACAAAAGCATGACACAAATCTGTACACAACAACTCAACAAATTTGGTGCGATGTGCAATAGCTTCATTATGCACGCTGATTCGGGGCGTGAGTTTTCAGCAAATATAGCAATTTCAAAACAATACAAGGTATCATGGCGATCTAAATATATTACATGTTTGTAGTTAATGCCTTATCAAAATAAAATACCTCCTCTTTAACATAAAACTGTTAAGGCTGTCGACTAAATTAGCATCACATTTTCATAGACTGTAACCAGACTAAAACAGAAAAGAATTGCGTGACTAAATCTTGACTACAACAAGATGAAAATTAGTTGTTTATAATTAACTTTGAGTACTATTTAAGTGTTTCTGAGTCATAGCTAAATATTTTTCAAAGAGATTGGTTTAAGTCAGGGTGCAAGAATTTGGCATGAAATGATCAACAACATTACCGAACAGTGTACTAGTGTTCAATAACAAAAAAAAGTGTTATTTTGGAGGTGGATGGCTTACAGAGATGAGTGGTTGTGTCTCTCCAGTTTTGCACAGCTATCAGGCTACAGCTTTGCTCACTAACTTTTTCCAATGCACATGAATGCAGCCTTTATGGCAGTAAAAAAGAGCTTGGCAGGTAGAGCACACCCGGGAGCAGCGGGAGGAGAGAAAATGAGATCCAGATTCTGGCAGGGCCTACCTGAACAGCCTGATCCTCATATTGTGCACTGTGTTGAAGTTCAGAAACTTCTTAAAAATGATAAAGGAAAACAAATTGTCTTATCAAACCTTCCAAAAACAACAATATTTAATCCTAAACTGGAGTTGTCCTCCTACTTTTAAAGGTGCCATATTATGCACATTTCTGGTCTGTGTTGTTTCTTCATCAAAAACATACTTGGAGTTGTGTTTTGTTTCATTCACACATGTTTAACACACACACCCTGCATATTTAGGCTGAGTTATTCTCTCAAACAGAAAATATGCTGTTCCACCTTGTGATGTCATATGGAAATACAGGAAGTTCACCACTGTGTTTTTAAACTCCATGCACCTTCATTAGAATAATTTGGATGATTTCATCCTTGGAATTGCCTCTCTTTTCTGAAATGAAGCTAAAAGGCAGCTGTTAACTTGAAAACTACCACCACATGGCATGGTGGGACAGAACAGTTTGAGCTTTGGAAAAAGTAGGCAGACTAATAATAAAGGGTGTGAATGAAACAAAGCACAACTCCAGGTATGTTTTTGATGAGGTAACAACATTATAACATGACTTACAGCTTCCAAAAGTCGGCAAATCTCGACCTCTCTGAACCAGAGCTGGGCAATTAAAAATATGGTTTTCATAATTATATTATCATTTCACAAACCTAAAGCATACTTTTAATCAGAGCCTTTTACAACACAAAATCACACAAAAAATGTCCAAACCACATGTTTGCGACATAGGATTAGCTGTAGATCTCTCCATTAAAAAGACCCAGAATGATCACTGACATTTTGAAATGACTCAATACTAATTATTAAATGTTCCATGTGACCCTAGATGTCTCTGACGTAGAATCAACTGGAAGAAGCCCGTCGTTGCGGATACCACCCACTGAAGGTCATGTGACGGAGGAGAGGACCAATCACTGCGAACCTATTAGAAGTACGTTTAACAACATGGAGATAACAGAACGATATCTCTGACTTATTATATGATAAACAAACCATTATGAGCTGTTAAAATGTAGTAAAAATGGTTACAGTAGTTGGCTTGTGGACAGAGATGGCTGAGACGTGTAGTGAGAGTGAAGCAAGGTGAAATTTAAATTTAGGAGCTTCTAATTTCAGCCACCATTTAACATTTTCCAGCTGGTGGGGCGCTTGTTGTCACATACGAACATGCAAAGGGCAGGGTTTGCTTACAGTTTAAAAAAGGCTTCAAGATATCATTAAGTATTTCTGGTAAGGCAGTTAGAGCTTAACTTGTTCAGTCCTGTTCTACCAAACATTTGATGATAACTTTATGTTGCTAATAGCTATAGGCAAGGTGGCTTTTGGTATGACTGTTATGGTTCGGCAAGGGAAATCTCCAGTGATATGGTTGTGAAAATTCCCCTCAAAATGTTCAGGCAAAGGACATTAGCCACGTTTTACATGTTGATCAATGGTGGCAAGGGAATGTGGTTAGAGCTGTACGCTTTTGGGAAAAAAAAAAAAAAAAAAGACAGTTATTGTGATTAGATTTGCCATGTATTTTTGAGCATGTTTGAAGAAGTCAAAACTACAGGTACAAGATGTGTTTACTTCAATGCATTCTATAGGGGTGTGCAAAAATATTGAAATATCAATATATTGTATCATTTAATGTGATGATACAGTATTGATATCGTGGGCTGCTGTATCGCTATATCGAGAGTATTTTTTGGTATGTTTTACTAAATTATTTTGTTACAGCTCCACTTTTGTTGCTTGTTTAGAGGATGGAAACTCATTTATGTGACACATTTGACATTTTCACTGTTTTGATGATTAAAATGGGCGTTTTATATCAACTTTGCACAAGGAGTGGTTTAACAAAGACTTTTAGCATCACAGCCATGATTTAGAAATTATTTTTTATTTAAGCGTATTGAATCGATTTGAAATATATCGCATCGAATGGAAAGCTCACTGTATCGAGATGTGTATCATATCGTGGCATGTGTATCAAGGTATGTATCGTATCGGAAACTTCTTAATGATACCCAGCCCTAGCATTCTATTATCTAAATAGTTCCAGTCTTTGGATTTGATAATTGCACCAACTCAAATTGCAAATATGGATTTCATTGTGATACATATATGACTAGAACATGTATAGTATATTTCTTACAATCAGAATTATATCTTTGAGAGTTTGGAGAAATGGTATCCTCTCCAAAGCTGACACCATTCATATACAAGCAAGTTACACTACCACTCAAAAGTTTAACCACAATTTCATTTGATTTTTCTTTACGCTTAATACTTTCTACATTTGATACATACAGAATACAAGATCATATATGGTGCTAGATATATGGACTTATGTAACAAGTTAAATAACTCAACTAAATATTTTTGTATGTCATGTTCAAATCCTGCTTGGTCTGCAGCGTCGTAAACACTTGGCCTTCTCTCAATTAACTTCTTGGTGAGTCAGGTTTGGCATTTCTTGACCTTTGTCAGGGTCAAGAAATGCTAAAACTGTAAACCAGGGTTCAAAGCAATGAGGGGCTATTTATAAAAATCTGAAATCTAAAACAAGTTTGGAGTTATTTTAAGTTTATTTTTGTTTGTACTACGTTCTGTATGTATCCGTTCATAGTGTTGATGCTTTCAGTGAGAATCTCTGGTGTAAATAATGGAAAAAAGGAAGAAACATAAATAAAAAAGAGTGTCCAAACCTTTTGACTGGTATTATAACTCTAAATGAACTATGTAAACTTTAGTGCCAGGTCCATGCAGTTTTTTTGTCCTTTTTTGGTGTCAGTTTATTCACTGACAGCATGATATAGTTTTTGTATGTGTCCGTTGTTCCACAGAAGGGTTAACTGGAGTTTGGCGTGGTAGAACAGCTGATTGCTTCCATCCTTATGTGGATTGTGTTTGAACTGCTTTTTGTTTGTTTCTCTGTTGTTAACTTTTCCAAGGTACTTTTCTTTCCTGGCTCTCCTCTGGTTTGGAGTTTAAAGTCTCGCCGATGGCTTGTTTACTTAAGCTTAAGAACGATGATTCTGTTGCTAAAATGTTGCATGCATGTTTGAGGAGGTCCCCATAGCTCTGCAGGTGTTTCTACTGGAGGCATGTCTGTCTTTCATGTGAGAAAATGGGTTCCCGTGACGACAGTTTTGTGTTGTTATTGATGTCACACTCCTCCGTTTAGGCACACTTTACTTCCACGCCTTCTTCTGTCAGTCTGCGGTTTCTGAGGAGGGAGTTTGGATTCTAAAGAAAGACGCTCATGAAATATTGAACAAATCTAAAATGGGTAGAGTTTGTTTCTGTGAGATTAAATGTCGTGAGATAACAAAATATAACTTAATTTTGATCAAACGTTTGATAACTGGTTTTCACTTTCATTGTTAACCTGACAATTCTATTTTACCACATATCTTCTTCATGTATTTAGTAAGTACATCAAATATTTAGGCTCAAAGTGCACTGTGTTACATTTTTGGCGGTGGGAGTCTGCCACTTGCTTGTCTCCATGGAGATGTTATTGCTTTGTCTAAAATGTTCCATAATCTGGCACTGAACTTATCATTTTTACCACATTCTTACCTAGGGGTGTGTAAAAATATAGAAAAATATTGATATATCGTATCATTTAATGTGCTTATACAGTATTGATATCGTGGGCTGCTGTATAGATATATCGCCAAGAGTATTTTTTGATATATTTTACTGAATTATTTTGTTACAGAGCTACAGTTTTGTTGCTTGTTTAGAGGAAGAAAATTTGTTTATTCAACACATTTGACATTTTCACTGTTTTGATGATTAAAATGTTTGTGTTTCATATGAACTTTGCACAAGAAGTGGTTTAACAAAGACTTTTAGTATCACAGCCATGATTTAGCCTTTACTTTTTACTGAACTGTGTCAAATCGCTTTGAAATGTATCGTATCGAATTGAAAGTGCACTGTATCGAGATATGTATTGTATCAGCAACTTTTTAATGATACCCAGCCCTATTCTTACTGTGAGCGGAGTCGCATCTCCACAGACCTGACCTTTAACTTGGCCTGCTGGTGTCACTTCCTTGTCTCTGTAGGAATTGATACATTTAAAGTCATACTCTTGAACAGTCTAGACAAAGCAATATAATTCTCATGGAGAAAAGGGGACCCTCTTTCAGAAAAGTTACATTGCGCATGCTTAAATAATCACAAACAATTTAACATTTATTACTGACATCCATATAAAATAATAATAATTTAAAAAAAAAGATTGTGTAAAAAAATACAACTTGAAAAATTTAATGAATGAACAATATTACATTATCCATACTTATAATTCTTAAGGCCCATAGAAGCTATACTTTGTCCCAGATGTAAGTGGTAAATGAGTGAATAAAGCTGACCTGAAGTCTGTAGAATGCATTTGTGCGAAGAGCCTGATATTTCGTCTACCAATCCAAAATATTTTCTCTCAAGGCATCTCGTAGCATCCCTCGCCGACAGCTATAATTGAGAGTCGTCTTTACCGCACAAACAGGAAATCAATATGAAATCATCCTCGTGCCCCAGTCCTGCCCCCCAGCGCTCCTTCTGAACCTGGGGGAATGCTGAAGTCTGGTGCTGGAGACAGATATTTTTGCAACAAGAGTAAATCCCTTATAATGTTTCAATAACCATGTTTTGACAAGTGGATGTGCATTTTCGTACAAAAAGGTAAACACATAAAAACTGTATGGATATCTGTCCATTTTAAATCCAACTTTGAGTGTCTGAGGTTTTTAGCTAAGGTTTGATGAAAATAACACTAAACACCCAATGTATCTTTTTTATTATTTTGATGTTGTTGTTTTTTTTAAATTTGAGTAATATATTGCAATAACTGTGTATAATATGAAGTAGAGCTTTGGGGAAGATGGCCTTTATTGGTGAACATCTTTGGACATGTTTCCTTCATTGAATCTCAAACATGCAGGATAAACAGCACAGTCTTGACAAGGGTGTTGGCTCTGCAGTCTAGTCTCAGGGTCATTTAGAGTTGGTCCATTGCAGAGAACTCAATAAACTTCATCTAAACATAAATCAAATCAAAAATATTTAGCCTAGTAGTACTTAAAATAAAATGCAACAAAATTTGATAGGTTAAATGTGAGTCCAGATTATAATGAAGTTGAAGACTGCCCTTGATTTAAGGTTGTTTTCAGCGGGCACTTTCTGAGGGCAAACTCCTCTCTGGAGAAGAGGAGGAGTCTGGTGGGAGATCCACAGATTCCTCTGGAGACCATGGGCTGATATCTGCTGAAAACAGAGCTCTGAAATAAATTGGCATCAAAGAGCTCTGGTTTGAGGACTTTAATCGTCACATTATTCATTGGATTGTGGAAAAAGTGGTTAGAGCTTCTGAGCTGGATAAAGATGACCTTACAAGCTTCTTAAGAGCAGGTTTCTGTTTTTTATCTGCTGTGAAAAGTGGTGAGACAAGAAGGTCAACGAACGCACATGTTTCTGTGGAGACAATATACTGGCCTTTAGCAGCCTACTATCAGTAAGCTATAGAAGTGAATTTTATAAAGCAAGCTGGGATATATTGATAACCCAAAAAAATGGGTTATCATGGGCATTTGAAAAGTGTCAAATAAGTCATGAAAGGTAGCCGTACTCCTGCTTTTTAGTGAGGAGGTTGTGGGTTCAAATCCTCGACCATTTGCACAGTTTATAGACTTGGGCTGTATGTATAAGTTAAAAAAGATGAGCTGAATGTGATTAATTATTATTCCTGAACTGCCCCGTTTGCCTCAGACGCATTTCAAAGTTCTTCAAGTTGTGAACAACCTTTTAACCCCAGACATTTTGAGAATATTTTCCATCTATAGGAGCTGTGTGGCGATTGTTGTTATGCAAGATTCATATCTTTATTGTAATCCTTGGAGCTTTGTCTCTGTAGAAATAATGTGTCTAAAGCGT